TTCATTTTCAGCTCGGGAGAGAGATTTAGGGAGGGGGAAAAAAAGAGAACTAACGAGGAGGAGCATGCAGTAATAGGTGGCGAATCCGACGATAATAACGCCGAGAGATCCTGCGAACCATCCGGCGACACGGAATGCGTAAGGAAGCCCAAGGACTCCTGTACCGACGATGGAGACGATAATGTTTCCTAGCGTTTGAAGAGCCGAGGTTCTATCTCCGGTCGTTTCAGACGGCGGAGATGAATTTATCAGAGGAAGAGATGCATCACCGTTCGCCGCCGGGTCCTTTATCGCCATCGCCGAGATTTACTTTTTTTTTTTTGGGGATGGGTTATTCTATGATTGCTCTGCGATAACAAACTTATTTCGCCGCCATTGTTATAGGTGTGGCACGGTAACATGGACCCGCCAAAGATTCCTTCCTATGACGTGGCACTGTAATGGCCCTTAGATTTTAAGCGTGTATACCATGCGCTACTTCGACGGGATCTGTGAATATGAAGCAGATCAATAATATCCACCATATGATCAAATGAAATCAGATTTGTTTTTTTTTTTTAATCGTCGATTTGTTTCTATTTAAATGCAGAATTCTGACTTAATAATTCTAGATAGAGAAAAGAAACACATAAATAAAAATAAAAAATCTTGTCGTGTGATACTTAATGATGCAACCGTGAAGGGGTCAATCAATTAGTTTACTTATCACGTTTACAACAACTCAAAATAACAGTACTGGTTTTTAGTTGTGTACTTTACATATACTCTATGAATTCTTTACATTTACAGGTGTTTTGAATTGGTCATACGGTAATGATGATAGTGACATTGTTTGCATTCACGACACATTTCCACATTCCTCCAATTTTTTTGGATCTACATTGGATTTTGTCAATAAACATCTAGCTTGATTATACTCATTAACATATAGCTTCAAATGGATACATTGACAAAATTTAGTAACACCAACAAATTAAGAAATGCCTGAACCCACTAGATAAACCGCGGTTGGAGCGTTCAACCACCACCTAACGTCTAAACAACCGCCTCAAACTGAAAACTCTATCTCACCAAATACAACATCAAACAAGCGAAAATCTACGTTTTATTGACTAGATTGTATTTAGTTGAAGGAGGCACGAAGACAATGTGGGTGATAAACGCAACGAATTGCATGTATAAGCTTTCTTCTTGGTCCAACGGCTAAAGCACCCATATGCTTAAGCTTCTCCATTGTCAAATTCGCCACCTGAAACTTACTCATCCTTTGTCCTCTCAGCATCTTCTCAAACTCTGTCCCCAATCCTATAGATCCAACCCATTTGTTCAATCCGCCCGCTTTCTCAACTTTCCTCTCTAGATTCAACACTCTCAGCTTCTCGTTATCCATAACAACAGAGCTACACAGCACTCTAGGAAACCTTATGGGCTTATGACCCGTACGCCTCCTCTGAATCTCCGGTCTTCTATCCGGATTCATTCTACAATCTTGCAGTGATCTCCTTGCAGCTGGAGCTTTCCTGGTTGTGAGATTGTGATCCATAACCATCTCTGGTTTGTCTACTGAGGTGAAATCAGGGCATGCCTCAGGTTCCGCAATGTGAAAATGAGTTGTTTCGTGAGCATCAGCTACAAAGTCTCTCTGCTTAGCTCGTGATTGAGAAGTTGTAGGTTTCTGCAGAGTGCAACGTTCAGGTACAGGAAGAGAAGGCACCATTGTGTGAACAAGAGAAGTTTCTAGCTTATCTGCTCTTAACTCAGCTTGTGATTGCAGAGTTGCAGGCTTCTGCAAATTGTAATGTTCAGTTACAGGAAGCGAAGGCACCATCGTGTGAACAGGTGTAGTTTTTTTCGTATGCGCCATACCGTCTCTTAACTCAGCTTGTGATTGCAAAGTTACAGGCTTCTTCAAATTGTGATGTTCAGTTACAGGAAGCGAAGGCGCCATTGTCTGAACAGGAGTAGTTTTCTGCGTATGCGCACCGTCTCTTAACTCAGCTTGTGATTGAGAAGCTGCAGGCTTCTGCAAAGTGTACTGTTCAGTTATAGGAAGAGAAGGCACCACAGTGTGAACCGAAGTATTTTTGTGCGTATCCAAAATACCGTCTCTTAACTCAGCTAGTGAATGAGAAGGCTTCTGCAAAACGAAATGTTCAGGGAGAGGAAGAGAAGGAACCACTGTGTGAACAGGAGTAGTTTCGTGCATATCCACAATAACATCTCGTAACGCAGCTTGTGATTGAGAAGTTTCTGGCTTCTGCAACATGAACTGTTCAGGTGGAGTAAGAGACGGCACCACAGTCTGAACAAGAGTAGTTTCTTGCACATCCGCAATAGCTTCTCTAAACTCAGCTTGTGATTGAGAAGTTGCAGGCTTCTCCATAGTGAACTGTTCAGGTAGAGGAAGAGAAGGCAATACAATGAAGACTCTCTGCTTTTTAACCAAGACCCAACCATCTTCTTCTCCATCAAAACCCACCTTAGAAGGACCAGTCTTGCTCGGTTCCAACTGTTTCGGCCTTAGCTTCGCCATTAAACCTGAGATTTCAACAATATTAAGCTAAAAGGGAAACACCAAATCATCTCTTAACTGTTTCATCACAAGTATACACATTTTGCAACGATTTTTAAAAGACATAATCAAAACAAGAACAAACCCATTTCGATTCGGAATCACGTAATCATCTGTTCATCGATTGCATATTTACATGGAGAATTTTGAGAGGAGATTGCGAGATTGGTGAACTTACTTCCCCAAAGACGATGGGAGGACTCCTTGACTTCTCTCCAATCGCTGACAGGTACTAAGCCAATCAAAACTCTTCAAACTTTCTAGCTTGGCAGGCTACGATTTATTGCCTCTGGACGGAGTCGAATCACCGGATTCACAGGAATGAGTTCAAATCAGGAGATTTGATTGTCTCCACCATCAGTGGACTGATAAAGAACAGAATTTGGAATAGACCTGCTTTTGCTTCCACAATGATGCAGTGATGGTTCCAGGGAAGTACTGCATCATCTACTTGATATCACCCTCTCTGCCTCTCAACATCCATCATCTATCGAAATGCTAGGGTTTCTTTTGGGGATCAAGGACTTCTCTCTCTCCGATCAATTACTATGGTGGTCGGTTGGTTCGGTATAACTGTTTCAACAAGGCTCCGGTTCATTCAGATTATTGGTTTCGATCTGGTTCGGGTTTAACTGGGTTAGTTATATCTCAGCCCAATTATCTACCAGTTTTGTTCCAAATCATTTCCGAAAATGTGTAATAGGTTCTATGGTCCACTTGGGCTTTTAAACCAAAAGAATGGGTTGGGACCGTAAAAACAATTTATATTTCACATAATAGGTTTTATGGTCCACTTGGGTTTATGATATTTTTTTTCTCTATCTTATAATTCTCTATTTTTTTTTTTCTATATACTGAGCAGAAAAAAATAGCAATATCTATTT